TTTACATGTTTTCAGTCCTTTTTACAAGGATGCAAAAGATGCATGTTGACATGTTTTCATCTCAGTGACGCAGCTGCTGCCGTGCTCCTCCGTGAGTGGGCAATCTCAGCATACGGCACTTCTGCACTCTTGGCGAGGGCCTCCATAAGCCAACTGCCAAGCTTGGATGTTTACCAAACACAACAAATTAAAAATGGCACAGATCAGTGTCAAAATAAGATACATTATTTATCCAGTTTTGCGAATTGAGAGCAGACACGGCATTGGTTTCTCCCACGTATGTTAAAAGAATTTTACATGTTGTAAAAAAAAACATGAATTTGTTGAAATATTTGCTCTTAGGGCTTTTGTTTACATTGACCCCCCAAAGTTTAACTCTGTGAATCATTTACACTGCCAGCAACTCTTTCCCCTAAAAAAATGCCTAATCTAAGAAATGGTATGAGCTTTATTTCTGTAAGAAAATCTTTTGGGAAATGTAGGAATGGTTTACGTTTTTTCCATCACCACTGAACATAAGAGCTTAAAGCAATATTGATCTTTATGGAGCCAATATTAGACTGTCAAATACACAAATACTTTGAATATCCTACTGTATACTGTCTGAGATACTGTTAAAAACAGAATATGGCAAAAGTGCATGCATGAATACATTCAGAACTCAATTAGAAAAGTAGTGAATGTAAATTCTGTAATTCTGTAATTCTAAATGAGTGAAACGTAGACTTTTTTTTTTTTTTTCCAATGAATGGGCATGAACTGCTTTGTATCCGAATAGGCACACTATTCATGAAATGTGGGACTATCAAAAACTGTGAAACACGTTGTTCCAAAAAACAAAAGACCGATCTTTTGGTTTAATGAAGCGAGATAACCAACATGACCCAAAAAAGTCATTTGAAAAGATGGGAACAAATAAAGCGTGCAACACTCACCGAAATACACCGTCTTGTCACACTTGGGGCACTTTGAAGACATGTTGCGATGTCGAGTGAAAGTGATCTGTTTTGTTTGTCCGGAGCGGCGTCTACTCTTCTCTCCGTCTCTTCTCTCCGCAGCAAGTGTCCGCGCTCCGCTTACAGAAGCCAGGAGCATCTATTGAGTCTACAGCTCCCTCATTTGCATAACCCCTCCCCCCTCCTTCCCGTCACAGCGCCAGTCCTCGTGTCTCCTTCACGTGTTGTAGGAAATGTCAAAACTTGACAGTTAATGTCGAGGTTTGGGACGTCAGTTGCTTGTTTTGTTTCTTCATTCTGCTTCTTTAGAATATTATTGTTGTGGAAGTAGTCTTCAAACAGCTATCTAGCAAACATTCAAGATACATTAGCGCTTTAGCTGCTAGCTATTGAGCTAGTTCCGGTTTTCTCTCTCTTTTTATAGGTTACGATTTACTGCGTCCAAGTGTGGTCATTGAGAGAAGCTATAAACACTTTAGATGTAGTTGACTAACATATAATACAACATAATTAGTTTCAAGCATATACTCAGGTCTTTAGAATCAATCGCTGTTTTTTTGCAAGTTGGATGTTTTACGAGCAGCACCTGAAGGCAGCATTTCTCTCTCTATGAGCCAGCCTGTGGTCTTGTCATGGCCACACTAGGGCCAGGCGGGAAAGCTTTTTTGAGCAAGTAGTGCACACTTGCACTCCCATTCCCCCCCCTCTTTCCACAAGAGGAGTAGGAGTAGTGTTTGGTTGAATCACAATGCTCTCTTTCAGAATGAGTGACACGTAGGAATTTTTTAGGCAAAGGACGACGCTGAAACGTGGCTCGGGTGGATCAACTTTCCTCTCAAGAGGGCTGCTGGCTTTGTGACAAAATGGGCCTACTGACTGGAGACAGGCAGAGCAGAGAAACAGCTTCTGAATGTCTCACAATCCACTTTGACATGTCGTGGTTTGCATTCACTTGTGATGACTAATTAAAAGGCAGTATGAGCTCCTGCAACAGTTTGTCTGTCTCTTTCCACTTTGGGAGTCTTCGGAGTGACTGAGGTCATCTCTTTCACACATGGGTGCTGTCTGGTCTGTCTGCCATAGTGACACAGTGCAGGTCCTGGTCCAGCATCAGACGCTCTGATATTTCCCACATCTGTGTCCCGGCTGATTAACAACCGTCAGCATGCCTGTAACCGGTTCCTCCTTATCTCTGAGCTCGCTGTTTAAAAAGAAAATAGCTATATCAGTTTGAGACTCAACGGTCTCAACGGTCTCAACGTCCTCTCAAAGGCAGCCACATTGTCCACTGGGCAATTTATGGGGCAACCCTGATCGGCATCACTGCTCAAGTAAAGCGTTTTTCAGCATTTCCTACTCGCGGTAAATTTGGAGTAGAGAGTCTTCCCGCCTCAGCGCTCTCGGTGTGTGTATCACAGAGCACACAAGTTCACGTTCACCTCGAGTTGTTTGCTGTGGTTGCAGGTTTGTTGCCAGTTCAGCTGCGGACTCAAACCTGCTGAGAGGAGAGGAGGAGGTCAAATACACTACAGAGGGAAACAGAGACAAAGAGGAGGCAGGAGATTGAAAGTGAAAGGACAATGTTCTCCGCAATCCTCGGCTCACTGAACACGTGATGAAGATGAGAGGAAGGGTGTATTACTCCCACTATCTGTAATATAAAATAACATTTATGCGAGGATGAAAAGGAGAATGTACTATCAGCAAAACCTTTCCTTGAAAATGAAAGTTTAAAAGCCTTTAAAATCATTTTCAAGGTTGTGGATATACGGAGCAAAATTGAATGACAGGTAACGGAACAGATGCCCGTGACAGGCTCGTACTCCGGCGGCGTGACTCGATGCTTCTGAGGAGTCTGGGTAATCCCCCGGTGAGACTGCAGTGGACGTATCCAGGCCACTAGTTTTACTTTCTGATCTGGTGCTTGGTTCAGACCCAGATCAAGCATCCAAACCCCACGGGGGGAATGCCAGGAATAGACGGCGGGAAAAGAGGGAGGTGGTCCTAAGGGCTGCAAGGAATGTTAGTACTTTACTTTTGCAGACTTACCATGAGGCAAACAAGGGTGGAAAAAGCACCTCAAAAATGTGACACATCCTAATCTTTTCTTTATCTCAAAGTGTTCTCAGAGGAGCACTCTGCCATTTTTACACATGAAGACCTTTTCACTCGTCATGAGGAGAACCACTCAGCGTGTGAAAACAGTTGGTTGTGCAGCTTTAGTTCACTTTAGTCAGATAAAATAATCCCGATGATGCCATTAGGGTATCTCAGTTCAGCTTGAGACTTTAATTTTTTTTTTTGCAGAAAGCTTGCCTTAAGAACTGTGGGGGTGCAGCTTGAATGTTGTGGTTCATTTACATGGAGAGTCCAACCAAAGACGGTACTCTGATGCATAATAGGATTTTATAGGATTTAGTGATGTCTGAGCTTGAGAAAACCAGTCAGGATATCTCAACATCTGCTGCATCAATTTTGACTATTCTTTTTAAAACATGTCTCTCAAATCAGTGAGAGTGCCCCTTGGAACTTTGCCTTCGGTTGAAATGTTTTAAAGCTAACGTGGAATGTCGTCTTGATTTTCTTAGAAGAAAAGAAAAGAAAAAATATAGAAATCAGGTAAAAATCACCAAAATTGCTCTGAATTCGTCAGAAATTGTGTGTTTATATCTGGAGCCCATCACTCATAGTTAGTAATACGTCTTTACATGACTAGTATGCATGACCCCAGTGGGAAACAAACTCCGAGCCCTTAGTCGTGTTAATCCTCGACCCTTCGTCCACCACGTCTCATGAACTCCAGCTGCACACCTGTTTTAAAGAACACTCACACCAACACTCATTACATAAGCCCCAAGGCCAAACAGGTGCCATAGCTGCCTTTTAACCCCCAGACAGCGACATTCCCTCAGTTCCTTCCTTTTTCCTTCCTGTTCATCCTACCCCCCCCCCCTCCTCTAACACACACACTCACACATTCAGGCTCCACAGATGTAAATGCAGGCTAATCCACATGAGCCACGTGACGTTTCGTTCGCTCTGAGGGAGCCCACAGAACGGCCGGCGAGGGCCCAGCCCAACACCACAGCCGGCTGCTTCTTTCAGCCAGCGGGCACGAGAGCCGGAGAGAGGCGACCAGTACATTTAGGCCCGATTGAGGGGTTCTGGGGCCTCTATTTAAAGTGGACAAGCACATCATTTAAAAGACCTCAGACAGCTGTGGTATTTCTGAAAATGTGAGAGCCCAGTTGTTTGTATGGACTGCTCGTGATCTGCATGTGCGTGTCTTTCAGTAAGAGGGAGAATAAAAGAGCCTGAATTAATTATTGAAAACGTTCGCACACACTCCAGAGTGGTGATTATTTTAGAAACAGTAGCCTATGTTTAGCTCTGCGAGGAGGAGACAGGGGTAAGATTAAACTGTCTCGGCAGATGATAAGCTATATGTTGAGTGTTCAGGGAGATTTTAATAGACAGCAGATCTTATCTTTTTGGATAAGACCGAGGACAACAGGGAGGGTTTTATCTGCCTTCTTTCTCTGGGTCTCCTTACAGGATGCTGTCCTCTTGTTTAGCCATGATACAAGCAAGTTACTACAAATTACACACATAATATATTATCATTGTAAGCCACACAACCATTGAAATAAAGGGATTAACGTAAACCAGCAGTCCTGCCCACAAATGATCACTTGTCCTGTGTTTAATCACAATGTTTCAGTTGGTAGACCTTCATCAAGGGATATTCAGGTGTTAGACAGCTCCGACAACATATACACTTCATACTACATGTGTAAACACAACCAATAAGCGTGTCCAAACTAAGTGCTTTCGATGACAAATCAAATTGGTATCAAAAATACGTTTCAATCTCTTAAATACAAAATGTGTTTTTTTGCTGATCTGTGGTCGAGGGGCAGTGACACAAAGAGCGGATTTTAGGCTATGAACGTGCTATATTTGAAAAGCTCAGACAGCTGAAGTCTCATGTTAGCAGCAGATTTGGTTTCCCATCACTTACATTCAAATTGCTTGAAGAATATTTTTTTGACACCCATTCCTTAGTAGAAGTACTGAAGCAAGTACTCAGATCCTGCACTAAAAATAGCAATACCACAGTGTAGAAGTACTCTGTTACAAGCAAAAGTCATGCATTCATTTTTTTTTACTTAAGTAAAAGTACAAAAGTATTAGCATCAAGATATACTTAAAGTACCAAAAGTACACATTAAGCAGAAAGGCCCTTTTCTGAATAATGTATAATATATCATTAGATTGATTCATTAACATGTACATCACTTTAATTGGGTAAATTAAGTTATCACATAGTAAAAAGTAGCAGAAAATAGTAATACTCAGGTAAAGTACAAGTACTTTACAACTGTATTGAAGTACTTCAGCCATTGCTGCTTTCAATGTCCACATATACTGTAGGTGTATTGTTTTAAGACAAATATATGAACCTATCCTTTAAATCCAGCGCAACAAGTAATGGAATCAAACTTAACCTTGTACTATAGTGTACGTTTGTGGTGATTTGATTAAATACAATATTATTTTAGAATATGCACCATGTGAGCACAATATCAACTGCAAGAATTAGAGTTCTCAGTTGATATTGTACTTTCATGGTGCAAATCTTCTCACTTATTTTCAATAAATCAAATTACCAAAAAACTGTTTGACTTACACTACACTTGTAACTTTTGGGGGCCCTTTTGGTCCGGGCCAGTTGCCCATTTCAGTCCCCCATCAGGTCTACATACTCAGTGGGTATTTTTGACAGCACTGGGGTGGCTTTTTACAGACAGAACAACAGTCTGTTTGTGGCTCCTTTACAGTATTTCTAAGTGGAGACGGGAGAGCGCTCTTGTATTTTCTTTAGCCGTTGACAGTCAATTTTGAAGTATGTTACTCCCATTTGGAATGTGCGGTGTTTATATTCCACTGAATGCCGTTTTTAGTGATGTGGGTGGATTGTTTTACTTGGCAGACGTCTTCACCGGTCACTGTTGGTCGAGGTTCCACTCTTATGCATTTCCACTGCTCCCTTATCTAATTTAAAAGCCTATTTTTAGCCGGTGCAATCTGTATATATTCAATAAATCTGTCGTTAAAATTTGTTTGTTTAC